CCCTCAGACCTTTGCAATTTAAGGCTCTGTGAGTCACAGGCACTGCTATGCACAGGCGTATCGCAGACGTTAGTCCATCGAGTATATAACCAGAAATAAAGACTAAAAAAGGGCCATTCCTGGTAACTCTTCACGTATAAATATCAAATCTCGTTTGCACTGAAATATAGACAGCGCCAACAACTGACCTGTGTGTACGTCTCCGTACATTCCGAAAATATTCTGCATTTATTGTAATAAAGATAACATCTCTAAGAATGGCGTGCTGTTCCATTCGGTGGTGTGGTGAAAAACAGCAAAACATCTAATTATAAAACGAACGGAATCAATTTTCATCGGTAATTAAATATTATATACGTAATTATGCAATTTTCGTCCATTATAGCAAAGCTCAAATTAACTGGTCGATTGAAGTGAAACAATTTACGACACTCATTAACGACACCTGTCATTTGTTTCGAACTCGGGCTAGCCAATCAGAGCGCAGTTGTCACAGTAATGATATGGCAGAATAGTTTTCAAACAAATTAAACGACATTTCGTCTCTATTTCTGGTTATACTTTCTTTATTTTTTTCCATCCTCTAAGGGTTATACCTATACTCTATACGTTAGACACACGACTTGTTCATCCTGTCACTTGGTAACATAAAAAAAAGACAGTGCCTTTCTAATATATATTCTTTTGTTCTCATTATTGACTTAATGTTGCCATTGTAATTTGAATTGTGCAATAAAGAATATTTCATTCACTAATAATCCGATTTGGTAGTAATAGAGTTCCTTATGAAAGAGTTCTTCCAGGGAACCTACCTATCGCTGCCGCCAAACAGTCCGATTCATTCCGAATCCGAGAAATGGCGGTCCGAATTATCACAAGGATAATTTTATCTCGGAATCGGACTTAGTGCACAAGCGATATCCGAAATGGGTCCGAGTTTTCTAGATTTATATAGTCTCGGAACAAATACGAATTAGATGCAGGGCGCAAACGCGGTATTGTGCAATAAAGAATATTTCAATCATTTATTCATAGATAATACGATTTGCTTCGAGATAAGATGCAGTTTCATAAAAACATATATCTACATTTCTATAATTATAAAATCATTATGGAATATACATTATTTGTAAAATTATGATTTTCCGTGCATATTTGTTATCGCCTATGATATTTCAACGCGTATGTGAAAACCATAACTAAAAGCGAGCATTTCCTGCGCACAATCGCAGCCATAAACTATGAGTGCGGTAGCCGATAGGTACGGGTCGTGGGATTTCAGGCCGTCGGACGCCGTTTGATGGCCATTGCGACTCGACACTTCCATCAGGCCGTAATAGCGAGCAGGAATTCTACTCACGTCGACCTTGAATGGGCGAGATCATCATTTCAAATTCATAGCCGACGTCTCGCCATGGCTATAACTGATTTATGGGAAGATCTTAATGTTGACTATTTTTATCCTAAACTTCTAGAATCGTCTTAAAATAAATTGAAAGATATTACTATATTCGACTGTGGAAGTTTAAAATGTCGTATGGGGCATCTTCCCTTACAACAATATGTCCCAGACATAATGTCCCTTACGATATTTCAAACTTCCACCTTCGATTTACAGGTAATAATTTTGATGATGTCCCGAATGACGTAAGGGGTATTCTGTCGTACGGGAAAATGTCCCTTCCGACATTTCAAACTTCCACCGTCGATGGTATACTTTCGGATATTATTTTTTTGTCTTTTACTTTTAATCACACAGTGATTTCTGCGAGAAGGTAACTATCCATTCGAAGTATATGTCGGCGCGGAACGATCCGACCATTGTAAGGCTGCCTTTCTACTACGATAGACGACAGCGCCCAGTTTGCATAAACACAGCTACTTACAAACAGTTTATCTAAAGGAACATGGATGGCGTTAGTTGACGCGCCCTTGAATATTACCTGAAGATCAGGTGATAAATAAAACAATTAATAAATAATATCCACAAAATGCCATGCCTATCATAATAATTAATAAAATGCTGAGCACAACAGGTCCATTTAAGAGACTAGAGTATATTACATGGTAAGAGTATATATTTACGTTAATAACTACTATTTTATGTATGACCACAGACTTTTCGATGCTAAACGCATCAGATAGGGCACTCCCATAGAGCAAAAGTCGACACAATTTAGCCTCATATATCATACATGACAGTTTTTTTTGTTTTTATACATACGCAATACTTTTGACCATGGATACTTGCGTTTTGGACATCAACTGAGTTTTGGCCTGGAGGTTAGTCTATATTAAAAAAAGTGTAAAAATAAATGTGGAGTCAAAGGAAGTTTGCTACAAAAAAGACAATATTTTTCTTATCATTTATTAATTTTCTTATTTTTTAACTTAGTTTTATATTTATTAAAAGCTTATAATTTTTTTTGTAACCTAACAAACGTGCCTTTTAAAATCTTATTAATAACATGTAGCTCAGACATGGAAATTGAGTTGTCGTCGTGATTTCGTACATTCTTTGTAAAGTTTTGCACAGTGTGGTGACAACTTTTTCCTCTCAGACAACTCGATGTCTTCTCTTCAATTTAGGAGTGCAATGCACAACTTCATCTGTAAACAAAAAAAACAGTAAATCTATTTGTTCAAACACTAGTTAGTAATAAATATATGTTTCTTGGCTCAGGAAGTATTCCACTATATTAATCAAACAATCACACATCATTTTCACTTACTATTTATTGGTTTCCTCGTTACAACTTCATTTCCATCAAGACATCTCAATGTAGAAGGCTTGTTTGAGTCTTCAGCATAAGTTAAAATTACAGCTGTTTCTGGAATTTAAACAGGTATCCAATTAAAATGGATGACATAGTTTTAAAATATAATAGTTTCGAATACAAATAAGTTTCAATAAATAATAAGCTACCCTTTGAATGCCACTTGTACACCCGGGGTTCCAGGTACGCATGAAAAACTCAAGTAAAAAAAGGAAATCAAATTCACATCATAGTATTAAGCAGCAATCTTATTGTAAAAGATATAAATCATTTGCATGGTATGGTGAGGTGTAGTGGGTTACTATTTGCAAGATATATTTATGTTATTGGATATTTACATAAACACCATATTATATTTATAAAATTTCATGTTATTTGTCTGCAAATGGGCTTTTTAATTGAGAACAACTTAATCAATGTAGGTGATGCTTTGTCATTTCAGATTTGATCTCTTTAGGTATCAATATCTAATTTGACAAACAAGCCAGCAGGACTGCCAGCTCGCTTTAATATTAATAAATGTATCACTCACCGGAGGCAGTTTTAGATTGTTTCTCTGGGTCACATGGTAAACAATAAGTTTGATCAATATGTTTACGTTTACTGCCATAACTAAGGTCAGGTTTAACATCCTCTGAAAAAAAAAACATAATCACAACTAAGTTTTCATGTATCTTCAACAGTAGCAGCATTAGTCTAAATATCTATATATCTATAACCTGTGTGGTTTTTTTGACAACCACACCAATTGCCTAGTCTCAAACTAGGGAGTTGTCTGTACTACAAGCCAGAGCAACGAAAACCTGAGGCGCTTCCCAGAACACCCACAGCAGAACCTATTTAGAAAAGTTTTCCCAAATTGATTTTACCTGGAATCGAACCCGGGACCTTTCATCCAGCGCCCACAATGTAAACCGTTAGGCCATCGAGGTCGCGATATATTCGTTCGTCACTTATTATCAGTATAAATGAGTAAAAAGATTATTTTATATATTTTTCTCTTATATGGACCATCAAGACACAAGATTGAGGAATACCACTGGATATCTCGCTATCAGAAAACAATGATGGATAGGCGTCGGGACAAAGACGGACTCTATCGCGTGTCGATGCGAAAAACCTTTTCTCAAAATGTTTACCACACACAAAGTGTTTGCGAAGTTCTTGGAAAATCAAGCTTCGCAATTTTTCACAGTTTAAACTCTGTAACCACTTTTGGAGTCCTATCTCACTTTTTGAAAACATATGAAAACTGACGTCCTTCCGTGTACTAGCACAATTCACAACACAGCACTTGTTGTACATGGTGCAAAGGATTATTACAGCTTTAAGATTGAGAGGACAAGTTACGGAAATGAATTATCGCAAAACTTTACTCGATCAACTTCAAAACTGTAATGGCGGGCGCGTAGTTTGGTTGGTTTGCAAAAAAACAAATATGGCGTCCACGAACTGCCATAACGGGGGATCAGCGGAAAGGGGGAGGCGAGCGAACTGTCACTTATGATTTTTTTTTAAATTTATTAAAGCTTTGGCAAAGCCACAAGTCTAAACATGAATTATTATAATTATTACAGAGTTTTAAATGTAATTTAAAAAAAAACTAACTACTACAGTATGAAAGTTAAAAAAGAATTAAATATAAACAACTTACACTATTTTAAAGGTGCTATTTACAAATTCAAACATTACATTATATAAACTTGTGTGCTTTAAAAGCTCTTGTACAGTACTGGGAATTGTTTTATATTCGAGAAGGTCTTGAGTTAAAGAAATAAGTAACAGACGTAAAGAAAATTGTGGGCAGTCAAAAAACAAATGATTAAGGTCACAGTAATTATGGGAACAATATGTAGGTACATAACGAGTTAGTATTTAACTTTAACCTAAATAAATGTGCAGGGATCTTACAATGACCTATGCGAAGTCTGCTTAGAGTCGTTATAAAATCTATACCTATATATGTGGGATATCTTTCAAACCAAGCCTTGGTTGAAGGCACCGGTACTATCTCGGCAAGCCCCTTCCTTTAACTTCTCTTGTAAAGTGATATGTGAACCACAGATAAAATCATAGACTTGAGGTTGAGATTTTTTATTTGAAGATTACATGCCGTGTATGACAATTTGTTGCCATAAATAAAACAATAGATAAGTTTTTCACACGGAAGAAAGAAAAGAATGGAAATGGCATCAAGCAACATTTGTATCGAAACCGGTGTCGCCACTCGCACACATTTGAAAACGTAATCTTACATTAGTACTAAGATAACATAATTTTAATTGGTTAAAAATTATCAAACGAAAATAGATAATAATAAAAAACTTTTGGTAAAAAAAATTGAAACTTATTTGGATCTAATAAGGTTTTATTATTACTAGTCACATAAAAGCTAAGAGTCCTATGAACATAAACTTCTTGGAACAAAAGCAAAAAGTTGACAATCTACAGATAGGGATGTGACATTTAATTGATATCGACATTATGTTTCAAAACTAGCGGAATATTGAACTAGGCATTGCTTTATACTTGCTATAATTAGGGTTAATCACGAAGTATATCATTTAGATGAGGTGTATAATTTTTAAAGGCGACTCTGAGTTTCATGTCCACCTCATTAACCAAATGATTTATTTCTTAATGAATTTTTCGGTTGTTATTCATATATAATTTAATGTGATGTCATACAATGCCTATAGCAAATGGTGCTACATTTAGTTGGTACCCAGCTTTTACTGCCTGTTGCTTCAGCCCATTCCTCCTTTAAAAAAGATCCGGCGGGATACTAAAAAAATCAATACAAAAACTGCAAATGTAAATCATGCCTGTGATAAAACTTAGAACTCACACGGATGAAGGTGACGTGTAATAAGCAAGTAGGGAGATAGGAATCATGTAGATAAGCGAAAGAAAATGTCCAATCTCATAAAGTCTTCATTTGATACTCCACGAGCTTACGTGCAATGTAAAATTATCGATACAGTATCTCTTCTATCAATATTTCCATTTTTTTTCATTAATATATCGTTTTAACTTAAATTGAAAATTAAAATGAAACTATTGCGAGTGTTGGGACCAAACATTTAAGTAATCAAAATTGTTAGCTTTTAAATACCTGTAAACAATTTATGTTTACACATTGGTACCGCTGTAAAAAAATGTTGAACTAACCCATAACCGGGTTTCTAAATGCAGAATTTCTACATATCGATAATTTGATTACAACACGCGGACCCAGTACCAAGTGTAATACGACGCTAGTGCAAGCAATTCATTGAGTGTCATTCGAATTGTTCTTTTGACGGCGGCGATGGCTAGCAACCAATGTATATTGTTATTACCGGGTTGCAAGAAAATAGTTTTGTTTCGAAATTATAGTATTGTATTGCTCAAAATATTAGAAAATACAGAGTTTTAGTACTTACTGATGAAATTAAATTGCTCCCGGAGTATTTTTTACACTTTGGCTTTTTACGCGACATGTTAAAATGGCACAATATATTTCTATTTTTTCCACAAAATAATCATGTATCACATTTGAACGACGACAGTCGCGCTGTTGACACTCATATGAACGTCTATTCATAAGCTAGGTAAGGCGGACCCCACTAACCAGTCTATTACTAGTATTTATGTGGTCTGTGGTTTTTCATTATATAACAAAACCGACATCAAAGTTTGCCGGTTTTTTTCGATTTCCATGAGATTCTCTCATCAGCTTCTGACTTCTTGGTGACAATGGAACTGTTACGGACTCTTTCGTACATTTTATATTTTCTTACCTGGTTGTCATGGTGACAGAGATTTGTTGATTACATGTATTGTGAAAAATCGACTTCTAATTGGGGAAAATAATTAGTATATTGTGATAGCCAAAACGAACCCGGAACAACGTCAGGGACCACCTCGAGAGTATACACTTTCAAACAAAATAAGAATTATCAAAATCGGTCCGCAATTTAAGAGAAATTGGTAAATACACGGACTCACATTTGAAATCCGACATGTCGCTACCTATTTTCAAAACCGGATTGCGTTAATATCTTCTAACACGGACCTAGTCTGCAACGTATATATATTTACTACTAAGTATAAGTTTATTTAGCCATATTTAAAAATAAAAATAAAATAAAATAAAAAGACTTTATTCTTCAACAGAAAACACTACAATATTTAGGATAAAACAATGCTTAAATCTATGTCGAAGAAAAGTAAAAAGCCTCAGCAATTTGCTGGTTTTCGGGCTTCACCTGGCAAGTATTCGCCGCTGGAGACACCGTAGCATATAGAGACGGGTATCTTTTCGAATACATATATAAATAAATAAATAAATAGGAGGGTATCTCACTCACTATATACGTTTACTACATAAATAACAAACCTTAAAACTTAAAATGACATACGTACCGACCACCGAACATACTGCACTTAGCAGCAAAGAGTATTTCACTGTGTACATAGAATACAACAAGCAGAGAATGGAATTTGGAAAAAATATAGAGTTAGTACATCTTTAATTCCAATTATAATCCTACTTTTATTATTTTCAATGACGTAACAGAGCCTACATCACCTTCGACCAACAGTATGATGTCTTCTGTAGATTAAGCAGCCATTCCTTGCACTTACACTTGAAAGTATATGACGATTTACATATTTTTACTGACGGCGGAAGATCGTTCCAACACTTAGTTGCCGCAAAATTTGTATATACACATATTTAATATTAGATAAATTACTATGTGCTTTTATTTTATTTATTTGTATTTTTTTTATAATTACTTTTTATTTGTAAAATTGGCACCCTACGTCTCCCGCTCCGATTAGCTTTCCTCTACCTCAAAATTTTTTTGAATTTGAATCTACCTCAAAGGTTGTCTGGAAGAGATTACTCTTAGCGATAAAACCCCATTTGCCCACATTAGTTTTAAGTTGTTTATGTACTATTCTTGTTCTTGTGCGTGAGCTATAAATTGTTTATCTATCTATCTATCTAGTTTCCACCACATCAGTGTTAACTATTTATAGCCGTCGCTTCTAATGCCAATAATATACGATATAATTAGAAGGAAATGTCACGTTAAAGTAATGTCGAAATATCACATCACAATCACAAAGACATTAGTTGAACCTCAAGGCGCCTCACAAACGTGTGTCTTGTGTTAGATACAAACAACCGGGAACAGTCACCTGTTACGGCAGTTGAATACTGTCATATACAATATATTATATATAAATAATTAATATGTAATATATTGCTTGTATTCAACACAAGACACACATTTACGCGACGCCAACGCTCGACATTTAACGAGTGCTCGGAGCGAGAAAATCAGGGATGTCGAACGCGGAGTCGTATGAAAACGATACATAACATGTGAGAAAATGGTGGATGACACAAATATGACTCATGATCATTGACTTACAATTATATGGACGTCGGGTCCGCGCTAAAAAGTGTCCGCACTTGTAAGGCGGTAAAATCGTATACAGAGCGCGACACTCCGCTTTAGTCTTCATTTGTTCTACTGACAGCGCGATACTGCGATGACATTACAATTTAAATTTCGAATAGGTTGACTTGGGACATTTTTTTCGTGGTTTTTGTATTAGACCCGTCGTCCATTTATTTGTAAGTCAATGCTCATG